CTGCTGCTGCTGCTGCTGCTGCTGCTTCTTTCGTTTGCGTGTCTACTAAAATAACTATTTCTGTTTTTACTTAAATCCTCATTTGCATGCAAACTTCTGCCCCTCAAATCAAGAGCGCCTTCGCGCTCTCTCCTGCTTCCGCGAGCTGCTGCTTCCCCCTGCTGCTGCTGCTGCTGCTGCTGCCGCTGCTGCTGCTGCTGCTCTCGCTCTCGATAGAATCTGTCTCTGTCTTTTTCTCTCTCTCCCCTCTCTTCATATCTTTCTCTTCTTTCTCTTCTTTCTTTTTCTTTTTCTTTTCTTTCTTTTTCTTTTTCAAATCTTTCTCTTCTTTCTCTGTCTCCTCTCTCCCCATATCTCTCAAAGTCTCTTCTTTCCTTTTCTTTTTCTTTTTCTTTTTCTTTATTTCTGTAAAAATCTGCATTTGTGTTTTTCTCTCTGTCTTTTGAGCGGGTCTGGTCCGCGCCTTCGCCCCTCCTTGCTGTTGCTGCTGCTGCTGCTGCTGATTCTGCTGCAGCAGCAGAATGGTGCTCGTCGTACTCGCTCTTTACCATTCTGCTGCTGCGCGGGGCCCTGCTGCGGCTGCTGCTGCGGCTGCTGCTGCGGCTGCTGCGGCGGCGCTGGCGGCTTCCCGACCCTGCTGCTGCTGCTGCTCCTGCTGCTGCTGCTGCTGCTTCCCTCTTGCGGCCATCTAGGGCCTCCCCCTCTCCCCTTCGAGACGACGGCCGGTCTGTCGCCATCTCTCCCTCTGCAACTTCCGCTGCTGCTGCTGCTACCACTGCTGCTGCTGCTTCTGCCGCTGCTGTTGCTGCTGCTGCTGCTGCTCGGTGAGCAGTCTAGAGAGGCCCAAGTGGCCTCTCAAGCCCTCAGGCTGAGGCGGAGCGGAGGCGCAGCAGAAGCGGCTGCTGCTGCTGCAGGAAGCAAAGAGCAGCAAATGGGCATATCGGGCTGCTGCTGCTGAGGCTTCAGACCTGGGGGAAGCTGGGGGAGGCAATAAAGCAAATAATGCAGCAGAAATGCAAATTAAAGAATAAAAAATGAAAATAAATAATAAAGCAGCAAAGAAAATGCTTCGCGGGGAAAGAAAATTAAAAAAATGGCGAAGGCAACGAGCCGGAATGCTGCATGGGCTGAGAGTTCAGTCCAACAGCACTGGCGCTGCAGAGCAGCAAAAGAAGGCAAACTTTAATTTAAGAGACTTTAAGGGACTTTTGGAGAATTTGGATTTAATATTTGAAATTAATTCCGAAATTTACCGGCAAAAATGCCCAAACTTGCCTCTTCAAGAGCTGATCAGCGGCAGCCGCAGCCCCGTGGGGTTTTGCATGCAGGGCTTCTCCTGCGCAAAAAAGGATCCATTATTTGCTGAGTTTCATTTTTATTTTCATAAATATTCAAAAAAATAAATAAAGTGATGGACCAACGAGCGAGATCAGACGCGGTGAGGCTCGTGAGCTGTCTAGACACCCGAAACGGACCCCGGGCGACATCTGCAAATGCGCTCTTTTCTGCTTTTTTAGTTTATCTTTTTTCTTTAGTTGCACTTTTTAATTAAAATAAAATGACATTTAATTCCCATTTGTTTTGTTTTGAAGCTGAAGATCGGAGGCTACAGGGTGTCAGTGCAGCCCGCCTCTCCCGGCCGCTCTTCTTGAATATCCTTGTGAATCTGGGGTCCGCTTTGTTCTTTTGTTCAATAAAACTCAAAAATAAACCATTTAAATGCAAACATTTACTTTTTATACTGCATTTAGTACTTCAGGGGCGTATTTAGGCACCTTCCACAGAATTCAAGTTTCTCTCTTCTGCCGGGAAGCTGGTCAAGAGTGCAGAAAAATGGAACTCTGAAGATTCCCACTGGTGCAAAAAGCAAAAACGAATAAAAAGGAAATAAAGAAATGCAAAACAAAGCAACAGCAGAACACCACTTTGCCATTTCAAGAAGTTTCATTCCAATTTTCAAGATTTCCCTGACATTCGTTTTCAGCTTTTTGCACAACAGCCGCTCTCCCTATTATCCCAGTGGTCTACTAGTGGTCCACTGGTGGTCCAATTGTGATCCACTAGTCTCTTAAAAGGAGAAAAGCTTCAGCTTCACAAATCTGCAAAAGTTGAATAGAGTTGCTGCTGCTGGGCCTGAAGTGTCTGTACACCTGAGCCGAGCTGCGGCTGCGCGTTCAAAAGACCTTTTCCCGTTATTTTTCTTCATTTAAAGCAATGTAATGGAATTTCTTTTAATTGAAAAACTACTTAGTTCTGAAAGTCCATTACAAGGCCTCAGGGACATTTAAAAGTCCATTAAAGGGGATTTATCTTCTCTATAAATGTGAAAAAGAGTAAAGCATTTGAAGCTTCGAAACTTTGAAAAAGAAAAGAATAAATGTTCAATTTGAAAGATGAATTTAATATAAATTGTTGTCGAGAGGGCCCTAAACTTCAAAACCTCCCTTTTTTCTTTTTTTGAATTTAACAACTAAATAGCAATAATTGAATTTCAATGAACAAAAATCCTGAAATGAACAAACAAGTAAATATATAGCTTTAAATAATTAATTAATTAAAAGAGAAATGGTAAAAGTTTTATTCATTCCGCAGCTGCGGTGAAGTGCTCGCTGAGTTGTCTGTACACCCCACGCTGAGGTGTCTGCACACCCCACGCTGAGGTGTACGTACACCCGGGCGCTGCGGCGCCAACTGGAAAAGCGATTAGCCTTTAATCACTTTTATTATATTTTCCATTTGCGGAGAAACTGAGAAAGCAAAAAGGACTCGGGACGCAGCTTTTAATGCATTCTCTCGCAAAAAGAAGAAAAGCAAACTTTTCGTTTTTTTGTTTTCTTTCAATGAAAAAGAGAAATACAAAACTAATTATTATATTAAGTTCAGACACGAAAAAGAAATTATGAACTATTTTATTGATGAAAACGAGAAGGGAAAAAAAGAAATAAAAACAAGAAAATAAGATAAAGAAAAAACGCGAAAGCAAGTTCAACGTCTAAACATAAAAACAAATTAATAACTGAATTAAATTTATTTAGTTGTCTTCTGAAAATAAAAACAAATGTTTAATTAAATTAAATTAATTTATTTGTTGTCCAAATATACAATAAATTAAAGTTTGAATTAAATTCATTCATTTTCTAAAAATAAAAACAAACTAAAATTAAATTAAATTATTTGTCTCACTCAAAAGCTCTGTCTCCCCCATGGACTGCGGCAGTCGAGTGGCTCCTGCAGCAAAGCAGCAAATTAAAAAAAGAAAAAAAGTTTTTAAGAGTTTGACAAAATAAATGAATTAAAATAGAGCATTTGAGGGAATTAAATGAATTAAATGGATCAAAATAAAGCATTTGAGGGAATTAAATGAATTGAATGGATTGCAATGGTCCATTAAATGAATTAAATGGATCAAAATGGTTCATTAAATGGATTGAATAGATTAAAATGAAGCATTTGAGGGAATCAAATGAATTAAATGGATGAAAATGGTCCATTAAATGGATTGAATGGATTAAAATGGCCACTTAAATGGACTAAATGGATTAAAATAATTCACTAAATGGAGTAAGTGAATTAAAATGGTCCATTAAATGAATAAAATGGACTAAAATAGTCCTTTAAATGGATTAAAATAGTCAATTGAATGAATCATACGAATTAAATGGATTCAGATACTCAAACGGATTAAATGGATTAGAATGATGAATTAAATGGATTCAAATGCTCAATTAAATGAATAAAATGAATTAAACTGATTTATTAAATGGATTAAATATATTCAAATACTCAATTAAATGAATAAAATGAATTAAAATGATTTACTAAATGAATTAAAAGAACTGAATTCGGGAAAACGGCAGGGAGGCGCGTTGAGTTGGGTGTACATACACCGCGAAGTCACCTGTGTCGAGGTGCAGCACTTCGCATCTTTGGGCGAATTGGTGCATTGTAGTTTTATTTTTGTGTTCATCAGTTTTATATTTTTGAATTAATTCATTATAAATTTCGACAAAGTGCAAAAAGTCCTGAATTTGCTGCTTCTGCGGCAGCGCGAGGAGCGGGAGCACGTAGCGGGCGCTGTGGTGTACGTACACCTGGCAGCTGGCTGCTGCTTGGTAGTGCAGCAGCAGCGACATCAGCAGCACCTGGGCGAGCGGCCACAGCGCCGCTTTTGCTGCTGCTGCTTCCCCGCTGCAGCGTGCTGCAGCAAACTGTGCTGCTCTCTCCCCCAGCAGCAGCTCCCCATCAAAACTTAACCCCAAAGCTGTTCCCAGCAAATTCCCAGGCCCTGCAAGAGGGGCCTCCGGCTTGTCCCGGCGCCGCTGTCCCAGCAGCCGGCCCGCCACGCGAGCTGCAGCAGCAGCAGCAGCAGCAGCAGCAGCAAGGTTGGCTGTCAGTTTGAACTCTGGGGATAGTGCAGGAGTGCTGAGGAAGGAAATAAATGAAAAGATAAATAATGGAAATGGAAATAAATGAGCAAATAAAGAAATGAAAAAAGAAACAACTAAATAAACAGAAATAAATGGAAAAGCAAGAAAAGAGGAAACGGCGGAAACAGCAGCAAATGAGCTGCTGCAGCAGCAGCTTTCTCACCAGCATCAATGCAGATTCTGGAGGCTTTAATGACACTTTTATTTGTTTCTTTATTATTTCCCTTTATTGCTTTTGTGTCCAGCGCAGTTTGCAGCTGCAGCGCCACCCAATCTGCTGCTGTGGGGGCCCCCTCCACCACTTGGGGGGCCCCCCAGCTGCGGCTGAGGGCCCCCTGCAGCATTTCAAACACTGTGGCATTCAGGGCCCACGCGAGGCACGCAGCCCCCACAGACACCAGCCTGCTGCTGCTGCTGCTGCTGCTGCTGCTGTCGCTGCTGCTGCTGCTGTTTAGAAAGGATACGAGGTGGGCCACAGTTTGCTCCCGCACGGAAGTGGAAGGGACTTCTAAATTCAGAGGAAATTCTTCGCAGTCTGCGAAAACGGAAAATTTAATTTAATTCTTTTTCCAATTTTATTCTTAATTGAACTTATTTTCTGCAATTTATTCCAAATTAACTCCAAATAATTCATTTAATTCATTTGCAATCAAGTAAGCCCCACTCACGCTCAGGGCTCGGCCGCGGGGGCCCCTCGGGGGGCCCCTGGGGGGCCCCCCGGGGGCCCCCCTCGCGTGGGGCGGGGGGTATTGGGGTTTTGGGGGAGGGGGGAAGGGTCTCTGCAAGGAAATGAAACAAATATTTTATTTAATTCAATAGCTAGCTGGCTAGCTAGCTGGCTAGCTCGCTAGCTAGCTAGCTAGCTGGCTAGCTAGCTGGCTAGCTAGCTAGATGGCTAGCTAGCTGGCTAGATAGCTATATGGCAATCTAGTTGTTTATTCGATCAGCTAGCTAGTTGGCTAGCTAGCTAGCTAGCCAGCCGGTTAGCAGCTAGCTGGCCTTTGACTATGAACATGGCTGGCCTGCTAGCTAGCTGTAGTAGTGGCTAGCTAGCTGGTAGAGACCGTCGGCGGGCCAACTTTGTGGCTGAGTTGGCTGGCTAGCTGGCTAGCTGGTTAGCTAGCTAGCCACTAGCTGGAAGCTAGCTAGCCACGCGGCCTCGCTAGCAAACTAGCTAGCTAGCTTTCTATCGGTACAAGCTAGCCAGAATGCTAGCTAGCTAGCTAGCTAGTTAGCTAGCTGGCTAGCTATTTGCATTTCATGTTTACCTGCTTCCGCCTTTTCCGGCTCCGGCGGAATGAAAGTTTTTTTCTTTTCTTCTTCCTCTGCAGCAGCAAAAGAGAAAAAGAAGAAAATGCATTTCCCCATTTTGTTGCTTTTTGGATTTCTTTGGACTTTTAAAAACATTAATTTTCATCAAAGTGTTTATTTAAATTTTATTTTAATTTCGCATTTGTTTGCGCTTTCCAACTGTATGTACACTGAAGAGGAACAGGAAGAATCCAGATTTAATTAAATGTCCATTTAGTTCTTTTTTATTTTTTTTAATTTTTAATTAATCATTTGTTGTTTGTTGAAGTTCGAACTGAGAAAAAGATGAAACATATTCATTAAAAAAACTAAAAGGACACAAAAATGGAACAAAAAAAGAAAAGATAATTCATTTTGATTTATTTTATTTTATTTTATTTCAAATTTAAAAAAAATTTAAAAATAAATTCATTTTCCTTTTTTCACCTTCAGGCTCTTTTTCCTTTGGGGCCACGGGCGGCACAGGCGGAAGGGCCTCTGCAGCAGTCCAAATTGGCGATAAATAAATAAATAAATAAATAAATAAATATATAAATGATAATAAATGAATGAATAATAAATAAATAAATAAATAAATAAATAAATAATTCAAAAAGAGTAAACAGGGCGACAGTTCGGTGAAGAAAGAATGAATTCGCTTTTGTGTCTACAGAGCCCCGGATATAAAAGTAGAATTAAATATTTATATTTTATATTTTATGAGCTAAGTATCTTTTTATAACTTGTTTTTAAATATTTATACTTCATATTTCCCAAATTTCATTTCGTTTTTGCTTTTCGTTCTTGACTAGGACTAGTGTACGTACACCCGAAGGTGCATGCAAAGCGTGCCGAGGTGTACATACACCAGAGAAACACGAAAATTATAAATCCCAATTTAAATACAAAGAAAAGACTATATACATTCAATTAATATGAATTGAATGAATTAATTTATATTTCTATTTTTTATTCTTTTGGGTAAATGCAAATTTGTCTCCATTTAAATAGTTTTAATTTTTTTTCAAAGTCAAAAAGGCGCTTGTGAAAAAAAAATTAATATTTAATTAACTCAAAACTAAAAACTGGAAGTACCTTTTGGCGCAGGAGGTGCATCAGCTGCGAATCCAGAAAAGAAAAAAAGAAGAAAACAAAAAAGTTCACATGCATGCAGCTAGAGTTCCACATGACTGCCGCTCTGCTGCTGCTGCTGCTGCTGCTGCTGCTGAGCTGCTGCTGCTGCTATCTTTACTACTGCTGCTACTGGTGCTGCTGCTACTGCTGCAACTGCTATTACTGCTGCTTCTGTCGCAGCGGCTGCTGCTGCTACTGCTGCTACTGCTGCCGCTGCTGCTGGTGGTGCTGCTGCTGCACTTGCCTGTGACAGTGAACGGCACAACGGTATCGGCCTTTGCACTTTCGATGATTTTGTTTAAGTCCGCGAGAACATTAATTTCTTTCAAGTTCCACTTGTTGACACTGCGGGCCTCGTGGAGTTCGGACTTGCTGGAGGCCTCGAGGAGGCTCTTTTGAATTGCTGCTTGCTGCTGCAGCAGCTGCTGCCGCACAGCCTCCAGTGACCACTGGTCCACTGGACCACTCAAGTGGACCACCAGTGGACCACTGGTGGGTTCGAAGTGAAGAGCTGCGCGGCCGCCGGAGGGCAGCGTGAGCAGCGCGCGGGCGAGTCCGAGGCGGACTGAAAAAGTGGAAAGCGCGGGAAAGCAGAACTAAAATGCACTTTTAGCAATTTATTTATTTTAATTTCAATTATTTTATTTGTTTTGCTTCATTTTGACCCCTTATGGACCCGTTTGCAACGAATTTTCGTCTGCTTTCCACTTTATGCAAAAGTTGAATTGCCACGCACCTTGCGAAGGCGCCGGCTTCTCTTCGACGGGCTTCGCCGGAATAATTGGAACAGCAACAGCACCAGGAGTTTCTTTCTTTTGTTCTAATTTAAATAGAAAAAGAAAAAAAGAAAAAGAAAAAGAAGAAATTCAGAAAATAAAATCCCAAAGTTGCAAAGGGATGCAGCCAGCTCTCCTGTCCAGCTCCTTGCACAGCTCTACCGCTGCGCCTTCTTTCAGGGTTTAGGGTTTAGGGATTAGGGTTTGGGGTTTAGGGTTTGAGGCAGCAGCGCACCTTTCTGTGGAGGCGCTTCAGCTGAAGAGGTTGCACCAGCAGCAAAAAGAAGGAAAAGGAGAAAATTAAAAATTCACTTTGAATAAAATAATTTTAACTTGCAAACTAAATGCGCAGCAAGATAAAAGTGGCGGCAGCAACTTGCTGTTTCACCGCGCCTCCCTTCAAGGGTTTAGGGTTTAGGGTTTAGGGTTTAGGGTTTGCCTGTGACGGAGATGGGAACAACTTGTTTGTCTTTGGCCTTTTCAATAATTTGCTGCAGCGTGGCTTCGACCTTAAGGTCTTTAAGATTCCATTTGTCGACAGTTCTGGCTTCTGGAAGTTCTGCTTTTTGCGCATTTTCCAAAACCCTTTCTTGAATTTGCTGCTGCTGCTGCTGCTGCAGCAAAGCCCCCCGCACGTCCTCCAGGCTGCAGTGGTCCACTGGTCTCGGCAAGTGGACCACTAGGGGGTTTTTGCTGGGCTGTAGGTGCAGCGAGGCTCTTTGGCCGGAGGGCAGCAGCAGCAGCACTTCTGCAACTCCGAAGGAAGCTGCAGCAAAGTGTGCAGAAGCAGCTCCACAGTGGTCCATTGGTCCTCCAGTTTCAGCCACTCAATCAAATTCAAAAAGAAAGAATCATTTAAATTCAAAAAAGATCCAAATTGCTTTTTTCAAACTCTAAAAACACTTGCTTTCACCTTCAGAAGGAGCTGCTGCTGCTGCTGGTGCTGCTCCAGGAGGCGGGGGGCTCGGCGCTGGCTGCGGGGCCTCTTCTGCAGAATGCGTAGACGCAGCAGCTAGGGTTTAGGGTTTAGGGTTTAGGGTTTACGGTTTAGTGCAGGGGGTGGGGCTGCAAACCTTTGGGCGTGGGCGGCTCGGGGGCTGCAGAAAAGCAGCAGCAAAATGAAATGAAGACAATTTAGAAAATAAAAAAGAAAATTAAATGATTTAGATGCATCTTTGTTTAATTTGATTCAAATATAATCTTTAAATGCAGAAGTGTATAATTAAAAATATATTTTTAACTCATTTCTTTCACATAGTATTTTTCATATTCCCCAAAGTTGAAACTTCATTAAAGGCTCACGCGGGGGTTTCGCAGCAGAGGGCGGCTCGAAGACCTCTGGAGGACCACAAAGGCAGAAAAGCAAAATAAATAAATAACTAAATAACTAAATAAATAAATAAATAAGTGAATAAATAAATAACAAATGAATAATTGAAATAAAAAATAAATGATTGTTGAGGAATTAAGCGGGGGAAAACGTGAAAAATTCAATAAAAGCAGCAGCACTGAGCTGCTGCAGTGTGAGCAGCAGCAAAAGCGCTGCTCTGACGGCTGACTGCAGCTTTTGCTGTTGCTAGTTTGAATTAAAAAAGCATTTTAAATGAAATAATTAAAAAGAATTAAGAAAAGAGACTAAGGAGAAGGCAATTTGTGTTTTTTGCAAGTGCTGAGGTGTACAGACACCGCGCACTCTTTGATAACTCCTCCTGCACGTCAAGACCCAAAGCTTCCCACTTTTGAATTTGTTCTTTAGACCATTTGACATCAGCAGCCTGTCTGCTGAGGCAGCAGAGAAAAGCAACGAGGTCCAGCAGCTTCTCCTTGAAAGCAGCAGGCACAGCAGCAGCCCGCAGCCCCTGCTGCAGCAGCTGCTGCTGGTGCTGCTGCAGCTGCACTTTAGCAGGCGCGTAAGTAGCAAGCCGCTTCAGGATTCTGTCCCGCGGCCCGTAGAAGCCAAACGGCCGCGCCTCGATCTCTTCAGCAAATTTGCTGTAGCGTTCTGCGGGGTCTTCAGTGCGGGAAAAGGCGAAACAGGCGGGGCTTTTTGTGTCTCCAGTGGCCTGCAAATGCATGCAGCAAAATGGGAAATGCCATTAGAATTCCAAAGAGCCAAAAACGGCTGCGAAAGACCCCAAATTGCTGCTGCTGCGCCCGATTTCCCGCTGCTGCTGCTGCTGCTGCTGCGCTGCTGCTGCTGCTGCTGCTGCTGCTGCTGCTGCTGCTCGGCTTACTGCTATGTTTAGGAAATCGCGTCTGCAAACGTCATATTTGTAAAAGGAATGCAGTAAACCTCGGGTGTCTGCATGCACGGCGAGGGCGCTGAGGCTGGCCACGGCGAGCCAGCAGCAGGCGGCTCTCATTGCGGCGGCGAACAGGGCACAAAACGGAGAGAAAAAGAACCAAAAGGATCCAATTTTGTCATTTATTTACTTTTATTTCTTTTAATTCAGAAAACGAAACTGAGAAATGCACTTGTGGCGCAAACGCGACACCTGGAGCGCCCGCCGCAGCCTCGCATTCCAGACAGCGCTCGAGCCCGCAGCAACAGCAGGTGACTCGACGGGAACTGCTGCTGAAATTGCTCTTTTCTTTGCACTTTTTGTTTTAAAAATTAATAAAATGATTCAATTTGAGTTTTATTTTCTTTTTAATATTCAAATTCAACAAATACAGCCGGAAATCCGGAGGCGCAGCGCAGTTGAACTGGTCCAGCCGCGAGTCGGCAGCGCCGCTCTGGCACTGACCGCCTGCAGATTTCAAATTCCGATTCTTGCAATTCCACCTTTTAAATTGTTTTCTTCATTTACTTATTCAAAACAATTTATTTCAACAATAAAAACAATTAAATAATAGTTCAATTTGAAGCTGAGGCCCAAAGACGTACTCGGCGCGCCGCTATCACGCCTCGACGGAAAAGATACTGAAGCAGGACCCGATCAAGCAATATCGAGCTTTCTTTCGCATTTTCACTTTAAATAATATTTAATTGAATTTAAAACAATAACATAAAATTTTAATTTCATTTTATTTCGCTCAATTTAGCTCCGAAATCGCCCGTTTACCCACTCTTGAATTCGGCTCGGGTGTTTAGCTTTCCGCAACAAAGATCTTCCAATCTTGCCGGGAATATAACCAAATTTGCAGATTTAATTTGCTTTTAAATTCAAATTCGTTTTAATTCGCAATTTAAATTATGTTTCTCTCATTTAATATGTCAAATTCAGGTCTGTTTCAAAAACAGAAACTGCGAATTTTCAATTTCTTGCAAATTCCATCCGCAGTGTGGTCACTTGAGTTGCAAAGAAACACAAGTCTATTTGCTGAACTTCCCGTTCAAAAGTGAATATTAAAAGAGACTTAAATTAAATTATTTAATTTAAAATAAATAATTTAATTCACTTTTAATTTTCACTTTGAACTTTCGTGAAGGAAAATTATTTGAAAATTGAAGAACAGATGCACTTGCTGCCCGGAATGGAGTTCTGATTTCTTTCAATTTAGACGAGAACTTTAAGTGATTAATTCAATCAAAAACAGCAACTAAAACTGCAGCAGCAGCAGCAGCTTTAAAAGTGAATTTGGTGCAGCAAATATTCCTATTTCATTTACTTGCATCTTTAATTTTAAATTAATTTATTTGAAAACTAAAAACTTGAATTTTTGCCGCAGCTTTTGCTGCAAGCCAACGACTCTTATTATTAAACTGAGGGGAATAAAGCTTGTGAGGAAAATAAGCCAAATATGAAACCATAAAATAATTAAATTCAAACCTAAATACTTAAAATTACAATTAAAATTAAAATTAAAAATAAATCGAATTTGCTGCCGCCTGCAGGTGATTGCTTTCTGCTGAGGAGCAGCAGCAGCACCCGCTAGAAGCAGCAGCAGCAGCAGCAGCAGCAGCAGCAGAAGCACCAGCTAGAACCAGCAGCAACAGCAGAAGCAGCAGCACCTAAGAGCAGCAACAGCAGCTGCTAAGAAAAGTAGCGGCAGCAGCAGCTAAGAACAGCCGCAGCAACTGAGTGCAGCCGCAGTAGCAGCAGCAGCAGCAGCAGCAGCAGCAGCAGCAAATGCAGCAGCTGATTGGGCTTAGCAACAAAAGCAAGTAACTTTTCCCACAGAGACATATTATGATTAATTTGCTTTTTGCTTTTTGCTGCTGCTTTGCCAGCAGCAAACTGGCAGCTTTAGTGCTTCACTTCACCTGCTGCTGCTCGTGAGCTGTCTATACACCTCAGTTGCACGTGTTGAAGCTCCTGAGCAGCAAAAGGAGCAGCAGCAGCGGCAGCAGCAGCGAAGAGAGGATTAAGCTTTGAAGGGGCAGCAGCGGAATCTGCTGCTGCAGCAGGAGCAGCGCGAGCAGCTGCAGCACTGGAGTGCTGCAGCCGCAGCAGTACGAGCCGCCGCAGCACTGAAGTGCAGCAGCAGCTGCAGCAGCAAACGTGCAGCTAGAGCACTGGGAAGCAGCAGCAGCAGCAGCAAAAGTGCACATGCTGCTCTAGTGAGTCCGCGGGCTGTTAAGGGGACCCTAAATGCCCACTGAGTGCATATAAACGGGGGGGTGTAGTTACACCTCAAACAGGCTTTTTTGTGAATCAAAATGCAATTAAAAGAAATTCAATTTATCAGATTTCGTCAACTTCAAAAACAATTCAAAAAAATGCAATTTGAATGTTATTTTTTGCTTTCTGTCTATTTCTGTGAAGCTTGTTTCCTGCGGGGCCAATGGTGTCGAGACACTCGAGCAGCAAAGGCCTCGGAGTGTTATTTTATATTGGCTTTTATTTTTTTTTTATTTTAATTTAATTTTTTATTTTTTAATAAGGTGGAAATAAAGAGAAAACGCAAGAAGGCAAGCAGTTCCCAGCTGAGCTGCGAGATGGCGGGGCCCCCGGCGGCGCCCAGAGCTCCCTTTTCCTTAAATGGCTTTAATTTGGGAAATTGATCTTAGATTAAATATTAAAAGTTCTAAAATAAATGAAATAAATCGAAAGTGAGGGAAGGCTGGGCTTTGCGCAGCCGAGACGTCACGAGGTGTCTGTACACCTCGCGCACTCGACGATGCATGCCAAGCGGATCTGCCGATCACTTCAATTCAAGTTGACTTCGAAGCTGCTAAAATAGAAAACAAATAAACTTTTTGACTTTTAATTGAAAACTAATTGAGCTTTTGCATTTCCATTTAGTCTAGATCTTCTTTTTATCCGAAAAACGGCCCACCAGCCTTTTTCTTCAGCTTCCCTCGTGGGACTTTGCGCCTCGGGTCTGTCGCCCAAAACTCGAGTTTTAACTCAAACATACATCAAAAACTTTGTTTTTTTTTCAAATTTTTTTCTTTTTTGTTTAATTTAACCCAATTTAGTTAAAATTTTCGCCTCAAACACCTCCTATGAACGCCACCCACAGCCACCACCCCAGGGCTCGACGGGGCCGGCCGGGGCCCTACGGCCGACCCAGCTGGGGCTCTGTGCCCCACCGGATCCCCCGCCCTACTTTTAGGGGCCCTGGGGAGAAGCAGCAGCAGCAGGAGCAGCAGCAACAGCAGAAGCAGAAGAAGCAGAAGCAGCAGAAGCAGCAGCAGTTCTTCCTATTTCTCTTTAAATAAATTTGTTTCATTAGTAGA